ATTTTACCTATTTATAAAGAACCTTTAGCTTCCTGAATATGCTTTTCTCTCATCCGTCAGATCATTTATTCCATTTTTATCCTGACCCTACATGTGTCCCATATGAACACATTGTAATCGACTTCCTTTATGGGTCGACCCTCCTTTCAGTCAGGTTGGCTCTCAACTATTAGATGTCTTCCTTAATTCATACCGAGCTTAATACTAACTGAGCCCTAACATACCGAGCTCAACATTATCCGAACTACTCCTGTACCGATCCACGAAAACTAATTCTTGCATCTGAACTCTTTTTGTGCCGAGTTACTGGTCTTTGTGCTCGAGCTACATGTATGTCGAGCTACTGATATTCGTGTCTTTGTGCCCGAGCTACTTATATTAGTGTGTTGCTTCTAAACCGACCATCCTCGCGAACTCCGGTCTATGAACCGAACTAACCTTGACCGGTTTACCAAGCTACTCTTATGTGCCATATCAACTAGCCTTGTAGCTATCTCCTCGACCTCCAACCTTCCTCAACCTAGTGCGGGCTTCTCCTCTGAAGAATCCCTAACTCTTACATCTAACCCTATCCGAGCTCAACCACTAAGGTCGGCTTTAAATCTCTTATATGAAGCCGACGGGGACATCCCCTGGGACTCTTTTAACACAAATAGTAGACAATAGTTCTCTCGAGATACCTTGTGATCCTCCAGAGGGCATCCCTCTTTCTCAATCCGAGCTAGCATAACTGTTTGTCCCATTTTTGTTGCGTTTTTTCGTATTTGATTTGTCTTTCTTTTTCCCCCCTACTAGGTATTTTCGTTAGTTTTTAGTTTTTTTTGTAGTTTATTATGTGTTTTCCTCTATTTTGGTTTTTATGTGTTTTTCGTGTATTTTGTCGGTTTTCTACGTTTTTCTTCTTGTTTGATGTGTGCAGGTCGAAAGCCCCGTGAGAAATAGATTTAGCCCAAAATCTAACCCAAAAAGAATGGTTGAGTAGAAGGGTTCGTTAGCTACATTTAATAAGAAGCGGAACTCGATTTCGAATTCAGACGAATCCGAACGGGGCCGAAACGTAAAGTTCAGCAAGATGCCGACCCTCTGAAGGTTGAAAAACTCTAGAAGATTATATTATTGGAAAAATCTGGTCATGAAAGTATCACTGAATAGAGGGGTTCGTTAACGACGCGTAGGAAAAAATGGAACCCAATTCCGAGTTCAGACGAGCCCAAACGAGCCCCTGAAGCAAAATAGTGCAGTGTAGGAATCAGCCACCGCGGCGCGGCGCAACTGCCCACCACGGCGTGAGGCACTCTCCGCGGCACGGCACGACCTCTCTCCGCGCCGTGGAACCTCCGCGTCCCCGACAGACACTTCCCAGCACGCCGCTACACTTCACCACGCCGCGTCAGAACTTCCCTCCGCGCTGCGGTGCCCGTGACCCTTGCGTCGCGCCAGATTTTCTTCATGCCGTGAACTGCGTCTGGTATAAATATGCCACGTGACTGCGATAGAAAAGATGATTCCCCCTCCTGGGGACGTGAACCCTAGCAGAGAAAACACAAGAAATCTTTTCTTCTCCATCATTTTTCCTCTTCTCTTTACCATTCTTTTTCATTTTTTCCCTTCATCTTAATAATTAGGATTAAGCTTGTAACTTGGATTCAACTCTTAGAATTGGATTGATTATAAGTTTTTCATCTTGTTTAATTCATGTGAATGATTATTTGGGGTGAATTTCTTGAGTGTTGAATTCATGGTATATAGCTAATTCTGATTGCTAGGGATAGGGGATGATTGTTCATGTTTCACATGTATTTTTCGGGCTAGAATTGTTCATGCTTATGTGAGTTGAATTGATTAGGAATTTGATGAAATTGGGCTTGATAGTTTGATGTAATCGAAGGGTGACACTTCGATCTTGCAGTTGGTAACAATTGGATATTTAGTTGTCGAGTTTGGTTTTGTTGTTCCAATTATTAGTTGATTAAACACCTTCTAATTAAATTAGCGATTTTTTGAACCGAAACGGGAGAAGTCGTCAACCTAGGCTTGCATGAGATAGATAATTTCATAATTGAATAATCTATGGGTTGAGATTGAAATACGTGTTTGTCGATGACCCGTCCCTTGTTACAAAAAGTTATTGGGATTGGGATAATTGGTCTGTGTTGTATGCTCGATCTTGTTCGTCTATGTTCAATCCCTTGTTATGAATAGTTATTGGGAGCGAACCGCTAGATGTTTAAGCGAGAGTGTCAATCTCGAACTGAACAATTGATTGCCCGATTTTGCTAAGAACTTGAATAAATTATCCCGATTCTCTAGCTTCTCCATCTTTGTTTCATTCATATTTTTAGGTAGATTCGAGCTTTTTATTATTTCTTAGTTGATAGTATTCAAACCCTCCTTAATTGATTAGTATGTTTAGGATTTATTTTCTTTTTATGTGTTATCAATGCCCAAGCTAAATTCCGAACCGCCTTCCTCGTGAGATCGACCCGGGAAACAAATCGTTCGATTCAGTACTCGGTAAAAATAACAATTTTCTACAACAATAACAATAAACGACGACCAACTCGCCGACCCCGTCATAGAACAAGCCTCTGGTGCTGTGGTACTAACCCGAGCTAATCCTTTCTTCTTTGCCGAGGAACCCGAAATAAAATCTTTCATGAGATTGTGCGAGTTTCCTCCCGATTGGGTTTTCCAAGCTCCTTCTTTAGGCAGCTCATACAACCTCCCTCCTCCGGGTTTTTACACTTTCTTTGTCGACCAGGCAGTCATTGTTCTCTGTTTTCCAATTCGTCTTGATTTGCTTGCTCTTTCTGAGCTATTTCGATTTCCCATTAACCAGCTTACTCCTAATTCTATCCATATATTAATAGGTTACACTATTCTATGTCATTACTGTTTTCAGAAGTTAGATCCTGAATTTTTCTTTTACTGCTACGGCCTTAAAAGCAACGTGGGTCCTACTATCTTAGTGGTCGCAACTGAGCTGACTACCTTAGGGAGTTTTCTACCAAAATTACCCATTGGAAATCCTGATTCTTCTTCCTCAATCCCCCTGTAGGTACCTTCGATTTCAACTCGGAGTGGCTCGAGAAAGCTCCTACCCAAAAGCTGAAGCCGAAAAAGGTAGCTCGCTGGAATAAAGTCCCATACCATATAGGGAAACTCACCTCCCCGACCGAGCTCCGTTCTTTTTATGAGATGACCTATAAATAGGTCTCCCCCTTTGATTTAGGTATTTCCACTAACGACCTTAACCTTACATATGTACAAATTCCCTATATTTTGTTGTCGATCAATGTATTTATGTCAATTGTTATTGTCATTATTTTTGCAAAACAATTTATGTCTAGCGTTTTATCCACCAAAAAATCCAAGCAAAAGAAGAAAAAAGCTTGCCCGAACCCCTCCACTGCAAGTGGTTCGCACAATACCACTCCTCACCCTACCAGGTCGAACAACGATCTGTTGAAGAAAATTCTGCCGGGCAACCATAAGATGAAAGTGCCCGAGGCTGGCGACCCGTTGGCCCAGAAGACTCTCTCTCCCGAGCCACAATGTAGCTCGATCGAACAACCCTCTTCATTTGTTTCCCACAACGATGCTTCCGTTCAATCCCCATATCTGCTCTCCATCTTTCCGGGCAATGAGGCGGATCGTTGGGGAGGCGATAACAAACTATGAGCTAGGTTTTGCATGTGACGTTTTGCCGCGGTACCTGTTCAATTCTCATCTTATCATTGTATTTCTTTATATGCCGAGATCCCATCCTCGTTAATAATTTAATTTTATCGTTAATGTAATGAAAGACATATCTCACTCCCTTTTATAGGGGACTGTTGCCTTGTTGTCCAAGACTTCTCGAGTGAGCTGTCAGGACTGCCCGAACAGCCCGTTTGTACTGCCTGAACTGCCCAACTTTGTTAGGCCACGTGGCCCTATCCACGTGTGATCTTTATCCTATTAATATTCCTTCATATCTATTAGTCTTTTTTATTAGACCGCCTAATCGTGCAACCAGCTCGAATCCTGTCGAGGTAGAATGCTACGCGTACCGAGCTTAAGTGTTGTCATTCTGGTCGATCACACGACCAAACATACCTTCAGGTCGAGTTTCCAACAAACCATCAGAGGGCCCTAGCTCGACCTGTCGTTGCCCCTTTGAATCCCGCACGTCTTTTTTGACTTGAAGACTCCTTGTTACCCCTTTGAACCCCTCACGTCATTTTCAACTTGAACACTCCTTGTTTTGCAGTGGCTCTCAATCTCCGTTCAACCTTCCTGCGTTCTGTTCGATCAATCGGTTCGTTCCTTCTGGTAACTGATTTATTGGGTTTTATCTACTTGGTGTGGTATCACATATCAGTATTCTTGTGGATTTGGTATAAATAGTGTGACCATCTTTGAGAGTTTCCACTATAGTTAGTTAAACACATTGTGATGAGAGTAGTAGTTAATATGATTGGGTATAGTTTTGATAGATATATGACAGTCCAAATGTAGTTTAGACTATACATTATGCACGCAACCGATTTGCGTTCTTAAATTGAATTGTGCACTATACTTTCTCCCATAATTTTTTATTTGGCACCACAACATTATTCTATGTTCTGATCACTTGATAACGTTCTAAGCTCTAGTGCCGGCAACACACAGTTACATAGATAAGAACCCCGCGAAAAAAAAAAGCATAATGCCGGCAACACACAGTTACAATTTTATTCACCATACAATTGCAGATTACAATGACACCATCCAGGGACCTGCCACGACACAAACTTACTAATTATTCTTTGTAGCATTTATACAAGTCCCACTATCAAGCAAGAAAATCACCATACAATTCCATATTACAATGACACCATCCAGGGACCTCCCACGACACAAACTTATTAATTATTGTTTGTAGCAATTTATACAAGTCCCAATATCAAGCAAGAAAATCACAAAAAACATATACAACCCCACTGGACGGACATAAACTCCGGCAAGCCACCACCAGTTTATATCCCATCAATAGCATTATTCAGACTACCTCCCAGCAGAGAAAGCAGCCCACCACCATGCACCCTCCCTTCCGGCACCACATAATCCAACCTCTTACTCATCTCCACCTGCTTCTCGCAACCCGACGCCTCCCCGCAAAAAGCCGAAACTTTCATCGACAGAGGCACCAACACCTGCGGGGGTATCATCTCCTGCCTTTTCGCAGGCCTCTCCGTCAAATCCGAAACCATGCTCACCCCAGTTGTCGACGAGCACACGTTCTCAAAACCACTTGGAGCCGAGTCAGCCCGCACTAGACCCCGGAACAGCCCAGGCCCAATCACGCCATCCTCCTTGGCCCGGACCTGGCTGGCATGGGCCGCACAGAGCCCACTCCTACCCCTCGCAAACTTGTCGCACGTCCCCCACGCGCACCTCTTCCCCCCTCCGTGTGCCTTGCAGAAGTCGGTGCTCCCCTGGGCACTCTTCCCGCAGCCCCCAACCGCGCACCGCTTTCCCCCGCCGTGCCTGACGCAGCAGTCGGTCCTGCCCCGCGCGCTCTTGGTGCATCCCGGGACCACGCACCGCTTCCCCCCGCCGTGCGCCACGCAGTAGTCCGTCCCTCCGTGCACGCTCTTGGGGCACTCGGAAAATGCGCACCGC